AGGGTCCAATGGCATATCTAGTGCTAAATTGGCTAGGCAGAACGCAAAGCGCGACAGGGTGCACTCTATGTGGCACTTTTCAGGGGGAACCTAATAAGAATAAAGGCCGCTGTGTCTGGGTGGAGGCGAACTATTCGCAATCATGGTTCCTACATTCCGTAGGTACTTCGCGGCATAGTAATATACACCATACGTGTGCTTGAACACTTATGGTAAACTAAAAGCCAGAGGTACAGTACCCGAACCTGATGACTGATGGCTATATCTTTTACCCAAACAATATCTTGCCCCAACACGGGAACAAGCCACCTGGACCTCAGCAGTACGTAAAACAATAGCCTACAAGCCCCCTCACAAATACTGAAAAATGCCATGCATCACTCTACCTGACTGTGGGGATCCAGGAATCCTAGCCCCTAAAACCTAAATTCTGACCCAGGAGCAGATGCCGCATCTGCAACCAAGTGAGGATGGATAACAAGCCTCAAGAGAGATTGGTCTGCCACATGCTCGCCAGGAAGAGGAATTATAGGATAAGGTTTATAGGGCTTAGGGTTTAAGGCTTACGGTTTGGGGTTTAGGGCTTACAGCTTTGGATTCTAGTGGGGGTTCATGAGTTTGAGCCTCAGTAGGTGCAAAGTGTGAGATGAGAAGTTCAAACTCAGGACTGATATCTCAGGAAGCTGCACATGTTCCCCTCGTGACTAAGGGAGAAGCAGGTGGAGCATGAAAATGGAAACTACTATGTGACATAGGCTTTTGCTGCTCCAGGCCACCTTTGGAAAGTTCCAGCAAGGGTCCTGAAACGCGCCGTCCGCAGTAGCTTTGCTGAATGTGAGGAGAAATACCTACCTTTCGGAAAGGTCCGCACCCGTCCCGGACGAAGGATGACAATCAAAATAAAACCAATTATCTATCAAAGCTTCAAATACTTCTCACAGGGGGTTTTGGGGTCCCTAGAACTGGGAATTTAGGCCACTATAGAAGGTAGTTCGAAGATCTTGGCACAGATACTTTAGGGCGATTTTTTTTCTGTTCAGGTACTTGGCGCCTGCCCCTAAACCCGAAACCCCGACCCAGGTGAAGCTTCAATGTTCGAGTTGGATTGCAACATGCTGATGGTTTTGATGTTTTGGATGGGGCCGTGAAAAAGGGAAGTCCTTCTACAACACAACAGACCCTAAGTATCAGTACAGCATGAAGTAGGTCTTCTATAACGGCAAGTAGTCATATGGTTTGGGTTCGTACCCCTAAACAGTTACTTAGGATCCTTTGGGCAATAGGGCTTTGACCCACAAGAAACCTCTTTTCGTGCGGAAGACCTAGCCCAGGAAGTCTATTGCTGGAGCGGCTGAAAGACATGGTGGTTTCCATAAGAGGGGGACCCCAATATAGACACCAAAATGTTACAATGCTTATTCTGGGGACCAAAAGTGCCCCTAATTTTAGGAAAGCCCCACATGACATGGATGAAGATGACTAGATGCTTTGCCAGGCCTGATTTCCTTGCCCAAGCCAATATGGAACCTCACAACATCTTCTGCTGAAGGGACTGTAGTCTTCATGACCCTCCTTTGGCAGGTTCAGAGCCCAGAGGGCAGGCTGCGTACAAGGCGAGATGCTCGAGGACCCAGACTCAAGTTGTATTTGCCTTTGTCCAACCCCATTTGTGCTATAGTCTAAACTCCTAGTATCCCCTTAAAAACCCCTATAGAAGTCCCCTATATCGCCCCCTTTTAGGAGTTTAGCCTATAGTACATATGTGAATACACTTTGGGATCAAGTATGTAACTTGTTTGAATACTTAGACGCTTGGAGTTCAAGCCGCTTTCAACCGTACAACTGACGTGCCCCACCCGCAGTAGACGGACATCACAGGCTTGGTGGCCTTCAAAACCATCCCAAGCGCAGCTTAGTGGTATTGCTTGCGAATGCTGAGGAACACTCCAACAAGTGAAAGTCAGCACAGTCCAGCAAAGGGAAGCTTTCAAGGCCAGCCAAGAATCCAATTGCCGGTGTAATCAGGGATTGAAGGATTCCCGCTGTTGACATGTTCATCCTCAGTTTCCGGGGAGCAGTGACGACTGCCTCTTGCCCATCCCCAAACCCACCTCCCGCAACCCCGCACTTTGAAATATCTCAGGGAGGGCTTCTGTGTCGCCTGTGGTTAGGAGCTCTAGGGCTTCCAGAAATTGGACCCAAAGATACAAACCCAAAGATACTATAACCGCTATAATCCTTATTAGGGACTCTCAAAAACGGCCCGCAATTTTCGGAAACCTCCATTTCCAGGCTTGGATTGCCATAGAAACAATAGCTTCGTAGCATACGCAGCCTTGGCGGTTTAGGGTATACACCACTGAAATCCCCAGAACAAACCCATACCTCATGATGGATCACTTCCTGTAGTGCAATTGTCTTGCAATAGGGCACGGGGGAATGTAGTAGTAGTAGTAGTAGTAGTAGTAGTAGCAGCCTCTAACACATCCCAACAGTATACGTACTAGTTCCTTTTCTTGCCCATTGCTTCATTCCCCACGAACAACCGGCAAGTAAACTCGAAACATCTATGATACGTCTTATGGCTTCCGGTGTTTATCTTGCTGGTTGCTAGCAATGAACAATGGAAGTAACTAGTTATTGTTGGGGTATATTTAGGGGCTACTCTAGCGATGCTTGTTCTGGCATGAAAGATTTCAGTCAAGGTAAATGAAGAGTGCGATTGACCTTGCCTGCGACTCCAGGTCACCTAGACTAGTTGCTACTTACGGAGTAGGGTTTAGGGCCCTAGAGTAGACTCCACGGCCCAACATAGATACGTCAATGTTGCTTATAGGCTTGCAGCCCCAAACGTGTTTCGACTTTCTGGGCTGTACGGGCTACTACCCTTTTGGCACTTTACGGAACTCAATGCCAGTTTGGGGGAGGGTGGCTGCTTGCGAGCACCTTGGTGGAACTCTAGAATTTGAAAGCCCCTTCAATCTCTATTTCCTGGTTCTTGGCAAGCAATAAGGGCACCTATTATATAGGATTCCAAAGGATTACATTCCATATTCCCCAACACTAAGTCTATCTCGGCCTAGAATCGGGCCGACTCCCTCGAACATCGTTTGCCCTCTTGGGTCTCCACTGGCATAGTAATCCTTGCGGGTGGGATTGTGGGCTTCTCGCCTTAACTTGGGTCCCCAGCCCATTCAGCTTTAATAGAGAGCAAAAGAGCACTACTGGGGTACCTAGCTTAACTTGGGGCTTAGGGTTGAAGGTTTAGGGTTTCGGGTTGGAAACATGGGTTCAGGTAGGCAGCCTGTCTTGCTGTAGGTTTCCATTGTGCGCATTTTGCTCATGCCTGATATGTTGACGTGTTGTTGTCAAGGCTTGCTCCTTCCCGGAATGCTACAAGCAGTAAGAACAATGTGACAAAGCAGCACTGCCACTGAAAAGCTGTGCTATGTGATGCTCCACTTGTCGCATCTTGTCGCCAGGAGGAATGGCAACAACGCACAGATAGGCGTGACCGCTGCTGATACACCGCGAGGAAACTTTTTGACCCGAACATGGGTGTGAAACGCATGAAGCTTCGTAACAATGATGCTGTCCCTGGTAAGCATGTTTCACCCCCAGCCCTGAGCCCTAAACCTAAACCCTGTGGAAACCGCGTGACGGTTACCAGACGTCAGCAAAGAACACAATTTTGACAAGCCAGTTCAGGCTGCAGGTTCCAACAGCGAAGCCGTCAAACAGTAGGGCGTAAACAGGAACATGGTCTGGTTGTAGATTGTGAGGTGTGAATTTCTGACAGAGGTGTGAATTAAAACTAGCTGGAAGATGTCCGTCCCAAATCTCAACGCAGCCAGCCCAACACTCACCCAGTCAACGCCAACCCTGACCCAACTACCCGAGCCCGTTAAGGCCTGGACATCAGGTACTCGCACAAAAAAGTGTAGAGCATTTACCCATACGGAGCTTGAAAGCCTCCATTTCCCATGGGCCCTGTGAAAACCATTGTAAAAGCCAGAGCACGCCCCTCTAACCGGTACGGCATTCAAAAGCTGAACCGGATAAACATCATCAAACGCCCTTATGACCCTAAGGCTTCATGTAGGTACCATTTATAGGGTTCGGGCCAATGCAGATATCACTTGTAGACTTAGAGCCCCAGAATGCGCGGAGTCCGTGAGCTCCAGGTTCATGAGGACGCCCAAGGACACGGTATAAGTGAGTGGAACCCAGAATCCTTCGTTCTTGACGGGCTCAGGGACCCAGTACAACAAGGGAACAACCAGGGAACAACCAGGACACAAGGGTGTACCATAGGGATTATAATAGGGATTGTAATGGAATATAATGTTGGGGATATACAGGGATAATGGAAAAGAAAATGTAGAGCGCTATATTGCGATAGGGTATATATTGGGGCTGCAAAGGGATAGCGGAAAAGAAATGGAAACTACTATTTAGGACATAGAACCCCTAAACCCTGAACCTCTAAACCCTAAACCCTAATGGACATAGAAACATCAGGTCACCTCTAGAGATGAAGTGCATGCAGGCTTACAAAGAGTAGACCGCAGGAATCCTCAGTCCAGCTGAAGGGTGCAAAAATTTAATGGAATATACTATCCTATACCCTATGATAATGTACTATAACATACTAAAAAATACTATGATATATACCATGATATACTAGTATAATTTAGTATATTGTTATATATACATATGAGAAATCCGAATGCGCCAGAGTCATGCTCAGAAACCTTGGCTCAGTTCAGCCATTGTGCAACTGGACTGCGTTTTCTTACGAATCTTTGCTGGGTTGCTGTTAAGGAACTAAATTAAGTTACTATAATGGGGAAACCATATTACTGACTATATATGCTAACTTATTGTAAGGTCCTTAACAGCAAGCCAGGTTTGCAGAGCTTTAAGGTTTCGGATGTACGTTCAAGGAGCTTCGGTGCACCCTAAACTCTAGCCCGACCCAGTCTAGCGTCTATACCTTCCTCACTCCTGGCTTGTAGAACACAAAGGATGCTTTGGCATGTCCAAGCAGTTTCAGCATGCGCACTGCTAATACAGATGCTAATATTACTGTTGTTACTACTATTCAGGTACGGCTGGAGTTGCGCCGGGCCGGGAAAACAAGCACCAAGCCTTTGCTTGTCAGCCAACTCACCCAAGAGCATCTTCCCCTACATAGTCCCATAATGCCTTAAGGGGGGTTATATAGGAGACTATTATAGCGGTTGTTAAGCGGGATACTAGGAGTCTAGACAATAGCTCACATAGTCCCATAATGATTGCCAGAACGTCCCATACAATACATAACTTGTAGTCCGACCCGGACGCCAGCTCCGGCAATCTTGCACTGGCCTTTGACTGTACGAGACCCACTGAGTATCATAAAGGGATTCTCACACTCTACCTAAGAGATCAAATATGGAGGGATCAGGCGGTCAGGCATGGGCGGCTCTCTCAGTAAGGCCATACGCTTGATCTCATCTAGGTCCAGATCTGCAAGCTCCCAGGGTACATCCACGTCAATACAGGGCGAAAAACCCTTGAGCTCCCTACATTGCATGCGCAACTGGAAGGTGGAACGTGGGAGTTTCAACAGTTTATAGCGCTTAGGGTTTAGGACTTAGGTGTAGGGTTTTTGAACACACAAACACGCACACACCGCCAACCCTGTGTTGATAGGGTTCAAAAAGCTGCCGTTCGCTGCATCCTCGCCTTGCCAACGAATACTAATTATGAACTTGAAAGCGCAGCGAGCGCCCACAAGTGAGGCAAGCAAAGAATGGATCTCATGCTGGCATTCAAGCGTCAATTTTCCAACAGACGTCTACTTGCCCCACAAAGATACAATCAAACCATCACAAGCGCAGGAAAAGCCCAGAGTCGGCACCACTTGTCGACTGTTTTGGACCACTTCAGCCAATACCTCATCTCAACAGGTTAGGAGTCCAGATAACAAGGCGGGGGCGCAAGAAAAACCTTGGCCCTAGGGAGATATGGGGGGTACCCCTCCAGGATTCTGGGGAGTTTAGGGTTTAAGGGTTAAATATGGAAGAACTATTTTCAGAAATTCCAAGATGCTGGGGCTTATCAGACGTTTCCAAAAAATCAGGTTCCCCCGAAGATATGCCCCTAGGAAAAAAAGGGCCACAATATGTCATGGAATATATACGAAACTCATAACTCTGTGGCCCTGAGCACCTCCCCCCCAATTGCTAGGATATCTCAAGATGCCTCGACACGTCTATATTTCAGAACTGGAAGTTGGGTCAATCCCCCACCCAGTAATGGGTACCACAAAGGACTATAGTATATGGGTATATTAAAGCAGTATTGACTCCATATCTAGGGACTATGACTGTAGGGGGAATTGACCTAAACTAGTAGGTAGAAGGAAGATCTAAGTAGCCCTAAACCCTAGGCCCATAGCGTATACGGTCCCTAAAAGTGGGTGGGTATCTAGGGTAGAATAGAAGATGGGTCTAAGTAGCCCCTAAACCCCAAACCCCAAACCCTAAAACCCATGCCAAGGTACGTGTGGCAGCGCTTTGCGTGTCTGTTCTGGGAGCTGATATAATTCTCAGCCCCAAGCTTGATCTCCTTCCCATGCCGGTGTCTGAGGGGGTTGTTAGAGGTTTAGGGTTTAGGGTGAGGTCTAGGGTTTAGACTAGAGGGTTGCAGGTTTAGGATTTTGGGTTTCGGAGCTTAAGTCTACACTTTTAGGATTTTGGGCTTCCCAAAACCTCGCGTTCCACCCCCCCACGATAGGCCCTATGGAGATGGCGCGTGTAACAGGGAGCTCTTCGGATGTCCATGTGAGCTATAGTCTAAACTCCTTAAATAGGGCCCTATAGGGGATTATATACGAGAGTAATATAGGGGTTAAGGGGGATACCAGGAGTTCAGACCATAGCTCATGTCAGTTTGGCAGACGGTAGGATCTCTTGCCTTGTGCTCTGGTGCGTAGGTTCTAGAACCCCCTAAACCCTTGTCTTGCAGTTTTCGTGTTGAGGATCTCGAATCACCGTCTGCTGAAGTGTAGGCTCATAGGCCTAGGAATAAATGTCTTTGCTATAGTACCCCCCCCCCCAGTGAGAGACTTCGTGCTCAGACTTATGGGCCTACAACCACCACAGCATAAGGTTGAGCACCCCAAGTTTTTACTTGAAAGCGGTGGGGGGGGATTTAGGGTTGAGGGATGATTGAAGAATCCCCTCTCCTAACACCCCCCCCCCCACTGAGAAATATCTGCAAAATAGTACAGTACGGGCAATATTCATTGTGGGGGGCTTGTTATTTGGACCTACTCTAAGCCCGAAACCCTATATTATATAATCCAGGAACCCCTACAAAACCCAATAAAACCCAGGAACCAATGTTCTTTGTCCCTAAGCCCTGAACCTCTTGAAGCCGGCCTAGCCTGTCCCTGCAATGGAAGTTTCTGTGCACTCGGGGCACTCTTGCGGCCGGGTTTAGGGTTCAGGCTGGTGGAAATCTTGCTCCACTCAAAACCCCGAATGATACAATTATTGGTTATCTATGGGTATGTTAGATCATGCAAGATTTCCTCCATACACACAAAGGGCAACAGTGGAGTTGCATCACCTGGCCCGCACAAGTCTACAACACCCGTAACACCAATAATCCTGACATGGGGATTTCGGAAGGGCCGCTTATTCAGAGTCCTTACAGTACGCGCGATCGCATTATGGGAGGCATGTAGATGTTTGGAAACTCCCACAATCCGAACCTCAAACTGTCCGAAGAGAAGAGCAGTATCCAGAGCCAGCGGAGTATCTCTGGACCCTAGACTCTAAGCCCTGCATGTCCGATGGCTAGCAACTTGGAGTTTAGCATCGAGGAATCGGGGCAAAATCCTACACCCTAAACCCTAAAACCCTAAACCCTAAACACCCTAAACCCTAAACCCTACAACCCTTGACCCTAAACCTCTAACCTTCACAAAGTCCTGGGGACTAAGCCGCACACCTCCAGAGATACCGAAGCTTAAGCCCTAGCTGGACCCTGCATGTCCCCTGCTTTTCTATGCTTACTGTCTTAATAAGGATTATGGGAATACATCATGTGGGGCCTATATTCCCGCATCCCCTACTAAGAACCAGTAGTT